ATTATTTTTTAAATTCCTGAGGGGGTTCACAAACTTGTATTACTCTGAAGTAAGTTTATAAATTATTATTATTGAGACAGAGTCTCACTCTGTTGCCCAGGCTGGAGTACAATGGCATGATCTTGGCTCACTGCAGCCTTTGCCTCCTGGGTTCAAATGATTCTGTTGCCTCAGCCTCCTGAGTAGCTGGGATTACAAGTGTGTACCACCATGCTCAGCTAACTTCTGTATTTTTAGTAGAGATGGGGTTTCACCATGTAGGCCAGACTGGTCTCAAACCCCTGGCCTCAAGTAATCCACCAACTCAGCCTCCCAAGGTGCTGAAATTACAGGCATAAGCCAACGTGCCTGGCCTGAGTTCATAAATATTTAAATGTTGAGAAACACCAGTCTAATATAAAATTTTTAAAATCAGACTTCAGTAATTTAAACTGCTTCTTGTCCCTGCCTTCCCAAGGAATTCAGTCTACCAGAGAAAGCAGACTATGAAAAGTAATTGCAATGTAACAAGCCCATTATCAGGGAAAAAGAGGCTTCTGCAGGAATATGCAGTAATTAGCCTAGGACTCAGCAAGGAGCTCCCAGAGGAGCAAGACTGAAATGATTGAACTTAGCTGTAAGAAAAGGACAAAAAAGTGTTCCAGCCCAGAGGGAACAGCATGTTCAAAGGCCCAGGCAAGAGAAAAGAAGCCAAGTGCAAGGAGCTAAAATAATCAAAGAAATCCAGGGTAGCCAGAGCATAGAATTGAAACGAGAAGAAAAAAAAAAAAAAAAAAAGATGAGACTGTTGAAAGAGACAGGGGTCAAGCTCTGGTGAGTATTGCAAATAGTACGGAATAATATACAAATAATATGGGTGAATATTAAAGAAGTATGGAATTGTTCCTAAGAGTAATGGGAAGCCATTTATGTGAACACAGAGTGAGAATTAGATAAACAAACAACAATGTTTTTAACAACATAAGTGTTCCCTTCCAACAGAGAGCCAAAGTAGAAGAAAAATGTGAGATTTCTCATTTTCAGAGGGCTCAAGCATTCTAACAATGTTCTAATAAGGACTTCCTCAAGTTAAATCTTCCAAATACAGCAAAATGCAAATACTGCCTTTGGCAAAATGCTAACAGCCTAGTGATCAAAAGGTGAACAAGAAAATGACCACATGACCTGACCTTGCAAGTAGACCAGTCTCATCATTTAGATTTTAGAGGCCACACCAGGATCACTGTGAGAGTCAGAAGATTTGGGCCTCTGAGTTTCACTATCCTGCTTCAAGAAACAATGGTAAGAATTTATTCCTTGCCTACCCACCTCAACCATATGTCTCAATAATATAAGTGGAAAAGATTTTACCAGCTGCATTGACTCAATCCACCAGAAAAAGACAACAGGCAGCAAGAAAATGCTTTATAATGTATGGCATGTCTAAAGTGATAAGGCTACCTGATCATTTCACACTTCTGAAATAAACACCCTACTGTTCAAATCCATAGGTGGGCATGTCTTGAATCTGCTTGAGTCAGGAACAAAATCCAGAGCCAAATCAACTAGCAGTAAAAACCACTGAATTAAACAAAATAGAAACCAAATGAAAGACCTTAAAACTCAAAACTTCAGTCAATCTGGTTCCACAGTCATGGGCCAGGCTTAGGCAGGATACAGCTGACAAAAGTAAATCAGCCTGGAGGTTCTAGACTCTGAACACACTACATGACTTGCTTTGATACCACTTTTGTAGGATCTGTCATAATTTTACATGTCTCAAAAAGTTGTTAGTAATTTTAAAGATCAATGAGAAAGTAAAAGCAAAGTGTTACAAATTTCATCATAGAAAATTAAGTGTTTTGTTTTTGAGACAGTCTCACTCCGTCTCCAAGCCTGGAGTGCTGAACATTATTGTCTTTAAACACAATAATCTAATCAATCACCATCACAACAAAAGCCCCACAACATAATCTGTTTCACTTATAAAAAGCACTGACATTTATAAAATTGTCATAGTCAATTTATAAAACTTTAATAGCAAATTATTTTTACTCAGAATAGTGCTAAATTATCAATATAAAAAAAAAACCAGACTGCTATGGTGGCTCATGTCTGTAATCCCAGCACTTTGAAAGACTGAGGAGGGCAGATCACCTGAGGTCAGGAACTTGAAACCAGCCTGGCTAACATGGTGAAACTGTCTCTACTAAAAATACAAAAATTAGTCAGATGTAGCAGCACACACTTGTAATCCCAGCTACTCAGGAGGCTGAGGCAGAAGAATCACTTGAACCTGGGAGGTGAAGGTTGCAGTGAGCTGAGAATGTACTGCTGACTCTAACCTGGGTAACAGAGCGAATAGTCTGTCTCCAGGAAAAAAAAAGCTTGAGTTATCGTTACATTGCACATGTGTATATTGATAAATCAAGGAGTGCCTGTATTGAGCTTCCACAAAAAATTTTTGGAAAGGTGAAGAAAGGAGCAGTTCCAACATTTTAAAAGACTAATTTTTAAAAGCTTAAAAGATTAATCTGTGCTTTTAAAAAGGATTTCACAACGCTTTTACCTGTTGTATTTGTTCTTGGCTGAGTAACTTCAGTTGTATTGTGAGTAAGAAGTTCTGGTCTGTAAAAACATAGTTGATATTAGTATTATAATAAAGCATTTAGAATAAGTCTTCAGGCCTTACTTGCACAGCTGTGCACTAATTATTATTATTATTATTATTATATTATTAAGATAGAGTCTTATTCTATCACCCAGGTTGGAGTGCAGTGGCATGATCTCAATTCACTGCCACCTCTGCCTCCCAGATTCAAGCAATTCTCCTAAGTCTCTTGAGTAGCTGGGACCACAAGTGCACACCACCACATCCAGCTAATTTTTGTATTTTTAGTAGAAACGGGGTTTTACCATGTTGACCAGGCTGGTCTCCAACTCCTGACCTCAGGTGATCCACCCACCTCAGCCTCCCAAAATGCTAGGATTATAAGCATGAGCCACCATGCCCTGCCAATTTTTAAACATGGTCAATTCTGCTTCATTTTATAGTAAAAAGAAAGAAAAACATTTTGGTGACTTGAATTTTGCAAATAGCAATTTTCAGACATTCAGGTGAGACCACCTGGATATCTCCAAAGTCACCCTTTTTATAAGATAAATATGCAAAAGTCACTTTTCCCCCAAACCAGCTCAATTCTGTTTCTGAGTCTTAGATGAACTGTCCCACAGCACCAAAAGAAGCAGCTTGCTGTATCATCTTAAACTTTCCTCTCCCTTATAACTCAGTCCCAAAGAATATACATAGATGCACAACCCCAATCAATAAGCAAGACTCTACCTACTTCAACGTGTCTTCAATGAGTAGAAAGAGGCCTTCTGTTCCCACCCCCACACTGAAACCACCCAAGCATTACCCTTCAAAATCAAGCAGGATAACCTTTCTAAAGGGCAGATCCAAATTATTTTAAGTGGTATCTGCTATTGAAATACCCTTGCAATTTGGCTATAATGAATAAATTTTAAACAATCCTGACAACTCCATTTTGCCCACCCTGAGCTATGTTTGCCCACCGACTTAAGTATGGCATTATGTCCCGAAAGCTTGCAGTCTGAGACACCTGACATATTTGTAACCAATTTTCTGAGAAACAGGGCCCACCAGCCCTGTACATCCTGTATCTGCAACTGTGTAACTGTTACCGCACACTGCTACCCCACATCCTGAGTTAAAAAACAATTTTAAGTAGAACTTTTTATTAGGCAACCCCCACCTTCCCTTAACCTGCTCCTTCTGTTTCTGTAATAATTGCTTACCACCCTGACCCTAAACTGGTATAAAACTGTGGATCACCCTTTGCTCTTGGCCGAGAGGTTTGAGCGCTAGCTGACTCTTGGATGCCAGCATAAAGGTGGACTCTCAACAAACTCAGTGCGTGGCGCTTCTGTTTAAACTCGCTCGGGTACAACACTATGAGACCATTTAATGACGGCCACTGCTTTGGTAGGCTGTAAGCCTTCCTGCACTTGGCCACACAAGTCTATCTATGCAATCCCACCACACCCACATGGCACTCCTCACTCCACACAGAATGGGTGAGGCATGTGAACATGTGAGCATATTTGACACCTCCCTGCCTTTACTCATATTTGAAACAGGTTCCCTCTCTGTTTTTGCATTTTGTAAGTGAAGCAGATTATGTTGTGGGGCTTTTGTTGTGATGGTGATTGGTTATTGTGTTTAAAAACGATAATGTTCAGCATTCCAGGTTGGGTGATGGAGTGAGACTGTCTCAAAATCAAAAATTTAAATGGTTTTCTTTGATGGAACTTGTAGTACCTTGCTTTTATTTTCTCATTCATCTTTAATGAGACAGTAACTGGATGTGCCATCCCTGCCTTCTTCCCCAAAAACGTTCAATAACTTTTCATTGCATTTTTCTTAGTATTAAGCCTCCCAAGGACAGGGTTCTTGTCAGGCCTAATTTTGCACATCTGATGCTTATACTAAATAAATGTTTGTTCAATAAGTGAATCTAAATATTAATTGTAAATATAAAGAAGTCATGAGATGGGAACAAAGGCCCATCTTCATTAAATTAATCTCTTCTTAATTTGTTTTTGCAGATTATCATCTTACCTTTTCATAAAAATTTAATTCAGTTGCCCACTTGACTGATGTTTTCCAGCCTTGGAATTCAGTATCATGAGGGACTTCTGAAAGGAATGTTTTCTGGTAGTCCTTCCACATACAAATCATTTGCACATGCTTCAAATTTTTGGTCTTGAAAAAGATCTTCAAAGTTCTTAAAAGATAAAACTTTGTTTTCAATACCCTTAGGAAGAGAAAGAAAATTATAAATAATAAAGAATAAAACCTAAATAGTATATTTTTCTGAGATGGAGTCTTGCTCTGTCACCCAGGCTAGAATGCAGTGGCATGATCTCAGCTCACTGTAACCTCCACCTCCAAGGTCCAGGTTCAAGCAATTCTCCTGCCTCAGCCTCCCAACTAGCTAAGATTATAGGCACCTGCTACCATGCCTGGCTAATTTTTGTATTCTTTAGTAGAGACAAGGTTTCACCATTTTGGGCAGGATGGTCTCAAACTCCTGATCTCAGGTGGTCCACCGATCTTGGCCTCCCAAAGTGCTGGGATTACAGGCATGAGCCATCGCACCCAGCCTGTAAATACTATTTGGAAGCAGCCTTTTGCTACTATCTGCTGGTGACCTTTAATAACCCTCCTCCATTGGCTGCTGCACACTGGCACATTTCAGGCTGCACTTTCATCTGCACTGCAACCACGAGATCAATGTCCTTTACCCATTCGATCTTGTGAGTGTGCTATTTTAAAAGAAATAACTTTCCACAAAGAATTCATGGAATGTGAAATAACAATAGTAAGCAGAGGCTGGTTTAGATTAAAAGAGGCATAATAGCCAAAGTTAGAACAAGACGATTCTTTGGATCCAGATATAAAGCAAATGATGAGCTGACACGAAAAAAATCATTGTTAAATTTGTCAGATGTGATGAGATAGTGGCTGTTCAGGGATGCACATTGAACAGATAAAATGACGTGATGACTGTGATTTGCTTCACAATATTCCTGCAAATGGAGGAAAAGAAATAGAACAAGGCTGGGCACGGTGGCTCAAGCCTGTAATCCCAGCACTTTGGGAGGCCGAGGCGGGTGGATCACGAGGTCAAGAGATCGAGACCATCCTGGTCAACACGGTGAAACCCCGTCTCTACTA